GAAAAAATAAATGAAGGGACTGCTTTCAAGCTATGTAAATGAATGAAATAGTGAAACGAGGTATGTGGAAGCTTGAAATAAGGTAACAGGACAAAAAACAAGGACGTTTCGGCATAAAGCCTTCCTCAGCCAACAATAGAAATGAAAATATAACAGAAAAAAAGCGCTTCACAAACAGTGAAAAAAAGTGTAAGCATATCCTTGTACACTGACCTGGATTCGTGGGAAACACTTGTTATGGATCGTATAAGCTGGCGAGAAAGACTCACTGTCGGAGCACAATCCTCAGAGAATAAGCGCAACGCTAACGCCCAAAGAGGGCGCAAGGAATAGTAGAATCACATCAAATCCAGTGTCAAGGTGTTAGAGTCCCTAAGCGTCTTTTTTGTGCCAGGTGTGCTATAGGGTAGGGATGCAAAGGCAAAGGGAGTGTGTGCAGGTGGTCAGTTGGTCAGTAGAGCAAGGGGGAGTGAGTGGGTATGAAGCTGACTGATCAAATACCCCTAGAAAACGATGCACACTAAATTCGTGACATTGGGGGCTTGTCCGGGATCTGGACCATGAAGGCAAGTTGTACACTAATTTCTTTCGCCTAATCTCTTAAGAGTTTTGACATATCGTTATAGCCAGCGTGTTGATCTAATCGCGCCCACCATATGTCTACCCCTGTGTTTTGTTTTTATATTGATGTCACCGATTTAATGTGTAGCGCTTTTTAAACTCCACCCTTATATTTTTTTGGAAAAGGTTGTTCAAGTTCGAATAAGCTGCACACTTTTTCCAAAGAGAGTTATCGGATGATGCAATTTCTAGAAACGCCTTTTTTCTTTAGTGTTCTCTTTAAATAAGCCGGAATCTTCAACAGCCGCGAGAGAAATTTGCTAATTTTTCTAGATATTTGTAGCTTTCCAGGATTTTTTTTTTCATTGCTGGGCTGCATGTTAATATCTTTTTATTTCTTTACATTTGATTTAGTATTTTTAATATCAATTTAATGCTTTATTTCAATTGAATATAATTAATACCAAAGCTTTGGTATCCATTTTGTTTGTGTGTAAATTACGGTTTTCAGTACAGCGTTATATATTTTTAAACAAACTATCAAAATCTTTTAACATACTATATTGAAAAACTTTTATCTCTGTTTTAACAATATTTTAACACAATCACAGGCTCTATCGAGATGTAACATTTAGATGTAAGGACATAACTTATTTTTATGAATATTTTCAAAGCATCCACTCGATTTCTTAAAGCATCTATAAATCTATCATTATTTTCGTATTAAAATAAAAATAATTTTAACATACAATAAATGGCAAGGGAAGAGTTTGACGTTGATTATTTATAAGCTCAAAAACTAACACAAGTGGACAATTTTTTAACGCATGCGTAAATCCAATAATTCGTTAAAATTTAGCTGCTCTCTATTATCAAGTTTTGAAGTAGCTCGCACTCGTATTCAACATTTTAGGTCGCAATTTCGCCTTGAAACAGAGTGCGTCTCAAACCTCTACCTTAGCGATGGACGAAACGTTAAACACCAAGGCATCAAACGCCATAGATGGCAATACAGATGGGAATGTACGTAACAACACCTGCACACACACGGCCCACCAAGATCCGTCACCTAGTTGGAATTTGAAGTTTGACCGTCCTCAAGCTGTCTACAGATTTGTTTTGTATAACAGATATTTTAATGGTCAGTTTGTGGGTGTTGGTATTTGTTTTTTTTTTGTTGTTGTTGTTTTTGGTTAGTTTTTTTTTAAAACACTTTTTAAACTTTTAGTTAAGCTTGGATATACTATTTGACAAAAACAACTAAAGGTTTCTAAATTTTAATGTTCACATAAGTAGGAACTTGTGATTTTTGTGAATAAGCATTTAAATTTTCTTTAAAAATAAGAACATAATAGATGTTGACTTTTCCCTTAAAATAAGGCTCATGATAAAAGTGTGAATGGGCGTGTCCAGTTCATGAGAATCTCGAAAGCAGATTTTTACGTACTGGCTTCTATTGTGAAAAATTAATCTCTTGTTTTAAGTTATGGCTCGTTCACACAGTGCACAACAAAAGACGATGCCATAGAGAAATACAATAATAAAGATACGACACGCAAAAACAGTTGCCAATTAAAATTAATAAGATTTAATTTAGTAATAATACAATTACAAAACAAAAGAAATATAATTACAAATCATCAACTTACAGAGTATCGGAAAATATTGTACCGTACACAATTAGTACAATGTACCAATTACTAATGATGAATACGACAAGCACATATGAGCACAGAAAGAACAATACAATTGTCTCGTAAAGTTAATAATATCTATCTCCGTCCCTCTCTGTCTCCTTGTCTGTCAATACCTTTATATATGCAGCGCAAGCCCTGCCTTCCAGAAGCTACTCAGCATTTGTTTACGTTTCTCGGCAAATCGAGAACGTTCGACAAGATACTAGGAGACAGACTAGCCATGTTTAATTGGTAGTCGATAGTAAACACGATACATCAAAGAGATTAAACCACGCCCACAACAAGCGTTAGCGTCTGCAAGGAATCTAATGTGGGGGTCAAACAAAGTTCACAGCACGGGAAAAATGTCCTATATAACGCAGATGTTGTTAAAATAGTAACAATTGCCATGACTAAATGTCAACCTAAGCACACCCCGACAGCGCCCTCTTATACAAAACAATGTTAGAGCTTAACCTTTAACATGTCTCATTGAGGTAATGGAACTCTTTGCCCCCCCCTCCCGTTTGTATGTACTCACCTGCAAACAACTACCAAGCATAAAAAAGGAATTTTCAAAATTTGGCTTGACGCGTATTACCTTGTACACAAATAATATGTTTCAATCAGTATATAAAGAGAATCAACATTTTTGTCAACGTTTTTTCAACATATATGAAAGCCAACCGTTTTGAAAGTAAAATTCAAACATACTTAGAATCCGGCATTAAAAAAGTAATTATATATTAATCTGCTTTCGCAACATATAACCTTTTCTCAGCTATAATGTGTACGTTTTCTATCGCTTAATATTTTAACATTTACATGCAAAATGTCATAATGATCAATGATGCACTTTTAAAGTATGTTGTGAAAATATAAAATATATATTCATATACACTCTTCGCTCTTTACAACGTAGACTCTGCCATTTATCCTCATGTATATTCTTTTTATTAAATTTGGCCATGTTTTATTTAAATGATAAATGAAAATATTTTAATTTATTTTTTTTACACTTACGTTAAGCAAGAATCCAAACCAGCTGGAAATACTCAAATACTGCAGAATTGATATTTCTTAACTTTTTTTTTTTTTTTTTTTTTTTTCCTTATTATATTTCTTTTTTTTTTTTTTTTTTTTTTTTATATTCCTTAAGCAATTTTTTTTTTTTTATTCAATCCTCTAGATTGTCTTGATTTTCCCTGCTCCGACCGATTAAAACATTTTACTCTTCAAAGTGTTGATTCCAACAACAACAAGATATGGAGTTACCAAGACGCAACTGAAGTAGCTTTGTTGGTGTACACAGTAACGGTACCAGGCCACCACAGAGACTTACCTATCAGTGGAGTACAAATTACTGCTACTGTTAAAGTAAACACTGACACAAACCCGATCCTTACACTTTGTGAATTTGAAGCCTATGGCGGTAATTAACTTTTGTCCAGCATTCTGTGATATTTTCTAGGGCATATTCATTTGTGTATTTCAAATATAATGCAGCAATTCAAACTTGTGCGTAGATACGGATCCTCCATCCAGCACAAAACACATTTTGGATGATACATCCCACCCTCTTCATGACAGATACTTAGGATCGGCCCGTTCGGGACGAATTCTTTCCGTCAATGCGAGGACTGAAAGATATACAAATTATTTTGTTCCCCAATCAGTGCGAATTTACCAGCGTGCTCCCCCCTGAAGTCACAAATTTTAATGAGAAATAAAATGATATGGCTAAGAGAACTCGCGGAATGGCTGCTAGTGAAAAAAAATTATTACAAATGTCTTGTGTTCAAATTTTTTTTTTATATGTCCTGAAAATGTACAATACAATCATAAAACATTTATATTCGTTTGGATCAATAAAAGAATCGTATCTTATCTTAATCTTATCTTATAAGAAAGATATTGAGTGGGTTGGTTTTAGAGAGCTCCTAATAGTTGTAGGTTTTGAAATTCTTTCATAAAGTATCTTATTATTATTTTGTCTGTTTGTTCTGCTCTTAATATAGTCATGTATAAGAACATACAGATGAAATATTTAAAAACCGCACTTTTTGAAAAGTACATCAATTCAAATACCTAGTATTCCAAATAAATAATGAAATGAATTATTAAAAAAAAATTAAAGAAAGAATAGCTGCTGGAAACGGGATATACTTCAATGATCACAAAATACTCAAAAATAAAAACACTAGGAGGGAAAAAAAATAAAAACTGTAATCAGACACGTTGCCCTAAAAAAGAAGCGGCAGAAAACCTATTGAACAAGTAGGTGCTATATGTTCTTTGGAAAATAGCCGGACCAACAAAGGATGAATATGGATGGAGAATACGAACCAACCAGGAATTGTATTGACCACATCAGGATCCCCTCGCTAATAGCTGAAATTTAAAAAAAACGGCAGGCTATGCTGGGCAGGACCCTTAAAAGGGGATGCCAAATGACAGTGGAGTGGAGATGGCGTGCTAAGAAAACCCCAGAGGAAAACAGCTGAAAGGCAGAACTAGGCTTAGATGAATGCATGATGTTGAAAAAGATCTACAGCATCTGGAAATACTAGCATGGAAAAGGAACGCAGTAGTTAGGATTGAGTGGAAGGAAGTGGTGAGGCAGGCAAAGAACCTGCATGGATTGTAGCGCCACAGGGATGGATGCAGTAATTCGAATAAAATCATAACATACAGTAAAACATCTTACTATTCTTCATTTTTCAGAACTAAAATATATTTTTTTTAAAGTTAAGTATAAAAGAGTATATAACTGTAACCAGAAATAGATGTTGTGTTTTAAAGCAAAAAAGAACAGATATAAGTAAAAAATTATATCAAATTCAGAAATATCTTTAAAAAAATTATCTTAGATTGCTATTTTGGTTTATTATTGGACTTTTTAATTTTAAAAAAGATTTCTTCAGTCAATTATTACACAGGATATTTTAAACGTTTAAGTTTTTGTCCTTTGATGTAAACCTTCTAGAATGTGCTGCTGGGACATGGGGTCTACAATGTGACAACCAATGTAACAGCAGCTGTAACACAACATGCCATGGAGAGACTGGTGCGTGCCCAGTTTGTTTTGGATTCAGTAACCCACAGTGTGATGCACGTACGTTATTTTCAATAACTTACATAAACGGTGTATAGCTCTCTGTGAATTTACTGTTTGCTCTCGCCTTATCCTTTAAACATTACACTAAAAATGTAACAGTGTACCTTAAATAACATATCATCGCTAGTTCCAATAAATGAACTTAAATTTATTTCACCATAAATTAAAACCCACAATACCAAATTTTTTGCGTGATTTTTTTAAAAATAAACTTCAATTCGACAGCGTGTAAGCCTGGCACCTGGGGACTGGGATGCTCTAAAGAATGCAGTAGCAGTTGTCTTGGAAAACTGTGTAACACAATCACCGGCGTATGTGATAAACTATGTAATGCTTACAATGGGTCTTTCTGCGTGTTCACCTGGTAGGTATTGTTCTCTCTAAAGATGCATACGTATTTTTTTTTAATTTAAATTGTTAAAAGCGTTTAAAAAAGTTTTGATGTATCAGAGATATTGTTGTTAGTGAGGGAACATGCACCAACCTCTTTAAAAGAAACACTTTTCTATCATGATTATCTGCTTGCTCGTCTAAAATATATTGAATGTACTTTATAGTCTGCTTAACTGCTATCAGAAATGACAGAAGATACGACTGCAGTCGGTGTCGGAGTCGGTGTAAGTATCGGGTGTTTACTTAGTGCGTCCATTCTTGTTGCGGTCTGCTGCTGGAAACGTAGAGGGAGACCAGCCACACAATCTGCAACAACTCGTCCACACCAAACTCAAAACATTAAAAATATAAACGTTTTATCACCTGCTGGAGATGATCATGAATATGAGACAGTTGGACCTATGGGTATGTCGAGATAGAAACAAATACATGTTTTAAATAACCTTTGCTGTTTTAGTAAATTCTTTTACATCAACAATTTTTCTGCTAACTTAAACATTTGAAAGATGAGCACAGCTATTAAAATATTATATTTGAATGGTTATCTTTTACAAATGGTTCATGGCGCAAAGGATTTTCAGTTGTGTTATGTTCTAACGTTAAAATGTTTACTAGAACTTGTTAGTGTTAAATAGGGTAAGAATATATTTCTGGTAAATATAAATGGTAAATATTGTGGCTATTCCATTTCACAACGCGAAGGTAAATCTGCGTCTTATATGGCAACAATCATTGGGTGTGTATAATTCATTTTAAGGTTTAACGTGCTTTCTTTTATCAGTGGACATTTTACATCCAGTTAAATAAATTTTTAGAAATTTACAAAATTACTTTTTCAAAATATAGCACGTCAAAGTTTACCAGAGATTAAGCCTTTCTATACAATTTCATCTATATAGTGTCCCAGAATCCAAAGAAATAATTGCTAAATTAATCTAAAACACTAAACCAAA